TCAGCCGTGTGAATGGACAATATGTGCGAAAAAAAAAGAAGGGTAAGTTTGCAATTTCAAGAAATGAGCCAAGCAGAGTTTTCAGTTTTCGACGTCAAAACACGTTTTTATACAATGTTAAAAGCGTTTTGTAAAGTATAATAATGCCAAAAAATTTGAAGCTAAAAGCAAGTACGGCCAGGTAAAACAGCAGTGTGTGTGTATGTGTGTGTTGTTCATAAAGTAATGACAGAAACAAGCAGAGGGGGAAGGAAAAGGGAGAGGGGGGGGGGCACAGACGCCCCTGGCGTGGCGGCGTTACCGATAATCTGCTGCCGAGACAATGGGGTGTTAGGCCGGTACGGGCTTTTTTGTAGTCCGGCGGCCATTGGTTCGGCTCATGGGAAGCAGACAACGCGCTCGGAGCGCTCCGTTTGGTAAGAGCGTGCGAGTGTCCATGTGTGTGGGTGTGTGCGTGTTTGCGTGTGTGCGTGTGTGTGTGGAGCCGAGGGAATCGGCGGCAAAAGATTAGAGCGGGAGGACTACCTGCGCCTTATCGGTCCAGCGCACCGTGGAGGAGTGTCCGCCTAATAGAGCTGCACTGTGCGTGTGTGTGTGTGTGCGTGCGTGAAAAGTAAAAAATGGGGGGGGGGGGCACCACACTCCCACATACTATAGTATGTGCAAAGCTTGCAGCACAGGCTAATAATGGGCCAGGACGCACAACGCGCCCCTTGTCACAACTCGGATGTTTGCAAAAAAAAGTAACACACAGTAACAGTAACTTTACGGCAACTTATTGCCCTCGACCAGGAGGAATATCCGTCCGGAGCAGCACAGAGGGGATTGAGGAGGTCACGAACCCCTCGCCATCTGCAGGGGTTCATCACACTGCTTTTTCCAAAACACTCGTGTGTAGTGTTCGCGAAAAGTACTGTAACGCTGAAATTATGATTGCTTCGCGGAGGCGAGGTGTCAGCTGACAGGCGTGTGGCGGTCGCATGAGTTTTATGATGGGCTGCAATTGTTCTCCACCCGTTTCTCTCTCGCTCTCTCTCTTTTTCCCTCGCTCGCTTTCGCAGAAACTCATCGTGCGGAGCGAAGTGGATTAGGGATTAAGAGAAGGACAATAATTCATGCCATCAAAATATGGTCGGCAAATCACTTGCATTATTTTGTCGCGCATCTTGGCGGTATTATGCGTCGTAAATTTATTCTACAATCAGCGACAAGTTGTCGTCGGGACGCCGGCCACGACGATGGCAGTGTTTATTGGACGTCACGGCGTCCCCGGTTATAGTTTACGACGGCCTGCGAGGAAAAACAGAGATGCATTCATTTGCCATTTAGTTGCGCACCTGTCGCGCGGTGCACGGCTTTGCGTTGGGCATCGCACCACAAACACTTATTCGTCTGCTCTGCTGCTGGCCGCGAAAAAAAGGGCGCAGCGTGCTTCTTGCAACGCATAGCAGTCTCTTGCGTACATATAATCAACCCCACTCTCAACTCTCCGCTCCGGCATGGCAAGCTGCTGCTGCCGCCGTGTAACACACCGCAATTTTGAGCCAAAATGTAAAGACACAAAAGAAACGTGCCCGTTATTATCAGCCATCAGCGACAAAACTTATCGCTTCTCTCTGACGGCAGCATTTTTTTGCCACAATCTTTGCAAAGGAATTTCAGCTGCACTTTGGGACAGAAGAAAAAATCGCTCTTCAGGCCAGTTTAACTATTTTTATTTTCATCCCCGTCACGTTGACATTCGGCGCCCGATGTGCCCCTCCCTCGCCTTCCACCTCCACGGCGCGTTTGAAATAAGTGCCGCAGCACGTAAGTTGTATTTCGACTCCTTCTGTCCGGTCCGAGCGTCCAAGTCGAGTCCGACGACGACGACGCCAAGAAGGTGCGCGCAGGAGAGCCCCCCTGGCGGTACTCGTCGTCGTACGAGTGTCGTGGTCGTGCCAGGTCGTGCCAAGGGCTCATCGCGGCCCCACCGGCCCGGCTCGGCCCGGCTCGGCTCCACTCGGTCCGGCTCGGCAGGACAACTGGGAAGATAAGCTGAAAAGCAGGTGGACAGCAGCAGCAGCAGCAGCAGCAGCCGTGGAGGAAAACAGAGCGGCCGTCGTCGTTGGCACGCACGGAGCAACACAAGGAGTGAAGCATTTTGTTTGTTGGTCTCCTTTTCATTTTATTTATTTTCTTTTCCTCTGTAACAACTCACTGACAGGTGAATTTACAGCCGCGCGTATCCTGACAACCCAATCAACGCTCTCACGGGCTGGACGGCCGTCTGTCTCTCCCTCCCCCCCCCCTCGTCTCTCTCCCCCTCTCTCTCCCTCTCTCTTTCTCTGTGTCTCTCCCTCTTTCTGACTCGCGCTCCTTGCAAAGGACCGTGCGCGACACGCTGAGCGAGTCTCTTGTCGACGTGCGCCAAAGTTACGAGGAGCGGACTTGTAACCTGACCCGAGCGCGCAGATCTGCAGCTGGGAGTATAAGTACCGTATGCATGCACCGCGCGCGGTCGCCGTTCGTCCGCAGGACACGCGTCGTCGTTTTACTCTTTTACTAGTGCCGGTGGACTGGATGACGCCCTGCCTGCGCTCCCCTGGAGCGTGCCTCCTGCTGCAGTTGTGCGTCAGTTTGTGTTCTTTTATACAGTTCCAGTGGACTGCCGCTCCCTGCTCCTGCGACGACGGCGGGGCGTCAGTTTTATTCCAGTCGACGCTGAGGACGGCGCGTCCTGAAGGCTTCGAGCCCCGACAGCTTGCAGCCACTTGATGGAATGCCGGAAGCAGCCGGGAGGTGTTGGAAATGGGGGGGGATTTGATTTGGTACGGCCCTCAATCCAGGCCGACTTACTTTAACGCTATCAGAGGAGTGACGGGGGTGTCTCTGGGCCATCCGTCAGGCGGCTCCCGCGCGCCCCATGTTCGGCTCCCACTTAGGGGGCGGGTACAAATCACGTTAGATTTTGATGAAGTGCGGAAGGTCCGCCTTATTTGTGTTTACTCCAGTGACGATGATTTATTTACGCAGATCGATTTGCTCGTTTATACGAAATACCAACGTATTGTTTCAGATGTCATGAATAAGTTACAACGAAAATACCCTAAACCCCCTAAAAAGTCACGTCAATCCTGGACGACCCTTCCTTGTCTGTGTCGGCCGGCACCGGCGGCGCGGCTGCTCAGATAGACACTCAGACTCGGAGCAGCAAGAGCAGCAATCGGAAGTGGAGGGAATTATTTACTTTCGATCCAATTCCAGGCGGACAAATCCCCCTATCGCCTGCATCCTGCATAGTATACGCCGTGATCCACCTTGGGCCGGCGCGGCGGCGGCGGCGTGCTGCTGCGGTCATCCTCCCGTCAGCGCCTGATGACTCCATTCCATCTCGTATGTCCTCTTATTTCCCCCTCGCTGCCCCCCCTCTCCCCCCCACCTATATTCCACCCCTTCCCACATACCCATTGCTCTCTTGCCTCGTCCAGTCCTCCAGCACACGACGACCGCATTGCACGTGTGGAGTGTGGAGTGGCGTGGCGTGGTGTTGATTGTGGCCCTGCAGCAGGTGAGCGTACTGGTATGACCCCCCCCCCCTTTCTCTCTCTCTCTCGCTCCTCACGGGACTCCCCGCGGCATGGCAAGTAGTGCCTCTTGATGCATTCGGAGCACGCAGCATACGTGGTGATGTCCGTCCTTCTTTTCTCTCGTACATCCCACTCTACTACTACTGCATACCTCTTTCCTACTATTATTGGTCCGTCAAACTTCTGTATGGCTCTATCTCTCTCTCTCTTTCTCCGCGTCCTCTCTTTCTGTCTCACTGTCGAACACTTCTGTGAAACGAGGGCCTCACTCTTCCTCAAAGAAGAGTCACTCGCGTCTTGTGGCGGTACGTATGGTTAGAGGGATAGAGCAACAAGCCCGCGCACGGCATTTCTTTCTCTCTACTGTACCTCATGAGCGACCAACTTCTGCAGAAAGTCTCCCGTACCGAGAAACACAAACAGAACTCGCCGCGCGCCTGCAGCAGAGGCGTGAGGATGCAGAGGTCCGTAGCGCAGGGACGCAAGGCGGCGGGAGGACACGACGGCGGCGTCCCGGGGACACCGACTGCTTTTGTTGTCCAGTCCAGACAGCAGCAGCAGCAGCGCTGCGCTCTGATACCGGGAGCGTGATTTCTTTCGCCTTCGGCACATTGTCCCCATACAAACACGGGTGAAATACGTCGTTTGTATGGAAATTTATGTGACCGGCGCGATGTGGCGGGGCGGGGCGGGGCG